ATCAACAGGGCTGACATCCTGGTAGGGGTCTGTGGGTCTGTTACAGACCACCTAACCAGGATGAAGGGATGAACAAGGCACTCTACAAGCAGCTAGCAGAAGTGCAATTATGGTCCCTTGTTCTCATGGGTATCTTCAATTTCCCTGATATGTACTGGAAATATAACACAGTGCAAAAACAGCACCCTACAAGGGTTCTAGAGTGTGTAGAAGATAACCGCCTGACGTAGCTGGTAAGAGAGCCTATTGGGTAGGTGTCCTTCTAGACCTCCTGTTCACAAACAAGTGGACTGATGAGAAATGTGGAGCTCAGGAGCTGTCTTGGACGGAGTGACCACAAAATGATAAGAGTTCGCTGTTCTTGGTGAAGTCAGGAGGGTGGCCAGCAAAACTGCTACTTTGGATTTCCAGAGAGTGGACTTTGAACCATTTGGGACACAGGTAGGCAAGGTCTCTTGGAAGTCAGTGCTGAAGGGTAAAGAGGCGTCCAGGAAGACTGGTCAGTGCTTCAAGAAGGAAGTCCTAGAGATACTGGAGCAGGCTGTCCTCCTGTGTGGTAAGTGAAATGGAGGGGAAGAAGAGAGCTTGGGAAAAGTCCAAAGAAATTCTAAGGGTATGCAGGGAGAAATTCAGAAAGGCAGAAGCCAAGCTTGAACCTGCCCACTGAAGTAAATGAGAAGAAAAACTTTTTTACAAACATATTGACTAAAAGGGTGGGGCTAAGGTGGATGCATCTCTCTCCTTTTTTGGATGAGGTAGGGAACGTGACCAGTGAGAATAAGGATCTCAATGCCTTCTTTACATCTCTCCTTCAAAGTCAGACCAGTTATCTTTGGCGTATTCTGCTCCTGACCTGGAAGTCTCAGATGGGGAACAGAAAAACCACCCATTATTCAGGTGGAAACAGAGAGCTATTACTCCACCTGGACCGCTACAAGTCCAAGGGGTCAGATAGGGTTCACCTTAGAGTACTGAGCTGGCAGAGGTGCTTTCCACTGCTTGCCAACATTCCTGGTCAGCTGGAGAGGTGCCAGAGGATTGGAAGCTTGCCAGCATGACTTTCATATACAGGAAAGTTCGTAAGGAAGATCCAGGGAACTACGGACCTGTTAGTCTGAAAAAGCAGGTCCTGCTTGACCGACCTGATCTCCATCCCACGTGTGGATGAGGGAAATTCAATGTTGACATAGTCTACCTAGACATTAGCAAAGCATTTGATAGTGTCTCCCACAGTATCCTCCTGGGGAAGCTGGCAGTTCATCATCTGGACAGGCGCTCTTTGCTGGGTAAAGAACTGACCAGAAGACCAGGCCCAGAGAATGATGGTGAATGGAGGTAGATCCAGCTGGCGAACAGTCCTGAGCAGTGTTCCCTGGGAGTTGGTTGGGGCCCATTCTGTTTCATATCTTTATTAATGACCTGGACGAGGAAGATGAGTGCACCCTCAGCAAGTTTGCAGATGACACCAAGTTGTGAGGAAGTGTCTGTCTGTGTGGGGGTAGGAAAGTCCTTCAGAGGGATCTGGACAGGCTGGATCTCTTGTGTTGAACTTCATTCCACTGGCTTCAACAAGACTAAGTGCTGAGTCCTGCACTTTGGTCAAAGCAACTCCAGGCAGCACTGCAGACTTGGGGCAGAGTGGCTGAAAGACTATCGAGGAAATGGACCTGCAGGTGTTAGTCAACGCTCAGCTAAATGTAAGCCAGCAGTGTGGCCAGGTGGCAAAGAAGACCAATGGTAACCTGGTTTGTATCAGAAATAGTGTTGCCAGCAGGATCAAGGAAATGATTGTCTCCCTGTACTCGATCCTTGTGAGGCTGCACCTTGAGTGGTGTTAACTTCTGGGTCCCTCACTGCAAGAATGACATAGAGGACCTGGAGCATCTTCAGACAAGGGCAGTGAAGCTGATGAGGGGTCTGGAGCACAAGCCTTTAGAGGGGTGACTGAGGGAATTAGGATCATTCAATTTTGAGAAGAGGAGGTTCAGGGAAGACCTTACTGCTCTCTACCACTATCTGAAAGGAGATGTGGTGAGGTGAAGGTTGGCTGCTTCTTCTGCGTAATTAGTGATAGGACTAGAGGGAATGGCTTCAAGTTGTGCCGAAGGAGGTTCAGATGGATATTAGGAAAAACTTCTCTGAACGAGTGGTCGGGTGTTGGAATGGCTGCACAGGTAGGTGCTTGAGTTACTGCTCCGGGAGGTGTTCAAGAAATGTTTAGATGTCATACAAAGGGATGTGGTTTAGTGGGGAAATGTTGGTGGTAGATGGGGATGGTTGGACTAGATGATCTTGGAAGTCTTCCAGTCTTGACGATTCTGTAACACTGTGTATTTATCACCACATTTTTCATCAAAAATCTAAAACATGGCATCGTACTAACCTCCATGAAGAAAATTGACTCTATACCAGCTGAAACCAGGATGCTCCTTTGCCTCCTCTGGTCTGAGCTGTGCACAGGCATGGCAGTTGATATCAGTCTGCATCAGCTTTTCTTTACTGGTATTTCCTCCCAATGCTTTTCCCCTATTCCATTGTGGGTCCTTTCCTCAGGTTGCAGTACAGTAGGAGTTATCTGGCAGTTCTGGTAGAGGACACACTTCACAGCAGAGAGGATTCCATTCATATTGTGTATTGCTGCATATTGTATCTTCACATTTATGTTCAGCAGAAGTGCTAGGGCAAGAAAACGTCAGCTAGTTATGTTGACTACTTCAGAAGTTGCCTTTTTTTTTTTTTTTAACTACTGCTACTTTGTGTGTAAGGAATGTTTTTATCAATAATAAAGCCTTCAAGATGAAGAGACCTGTGGGAGGGTGGGGATGGGGGGGCTTATGAAGTGAAAATTGCCAAGTAGGAAAATATTCTTGTTGACATGAGTAAGACTGTTTATGTAAGGAAGGTATCTGGTCAAGGTCCCTTTTTTCATCCAAAGTAATAAGCAAAGGAGTAAGCCATAAAAAAGTGTGCAGACTGGAGAGATAAGTGATAAGGGAGGCAGTGGTAAGAACTGAACAAGGGCATGTGAAAGTGAGAATGTTTATTCCTGTGAAGTTTTGGGACCGTGTCAGTTTGAAAAGTAAGGGAAAAGGGGAAGCTGGGAATGAAAATAAATAGAGGCACAGACCTAAGGCAAACATGGAGACAATAAAAAGAAACTCGCCTTTAACTGTGCTGTTGATGGGCTGTTGAGAAACCATTGGTGCCCCTTACAGACAGATTGACCTGGACCTCACCTCTGATAACTGGTGGTCCCAGGCACTGGTCTGGAAAGGGGGCTGAGAAAGTAAGAGTGGAGGAGCAAAGTGGGTGATGGACAGAAAGGGGCAAGAAGGGAGTTGGCTGTGTAAAATGTGTCAGTATGCTTGTCTGACAGTCCTGTGCCTGTTCACCAAAGTCTGTCCTATCTTCTTGCATTGTATGATATCTTTTCTTAGCAGTCTGCATACTCTCACTCTTTAATCCCAAAAGTGTGTGTGCTGTAAGGCAGAAGTGCTTGCTGCTGGTGAGATGAATGGAGGTGTGTGTGAGAGAGTGAAGGTGGGTCTCAGTGTCATTAGCTGAAGAGGCTGTAGCTCTCTGGACCTAGTGAAAATGCTGCAGACAAACAGATCCCAGTGTGAGTGGGCTTGGGTGCTAGTGAGTAGAGTGAGGGCTGGAGTCTGAGCTTCCAGCCTGTGGTGTGGGAACAGTGCAAAACTAGAGGGAACTGGGGTGAGTGAGCTGGGTGTGGGGTTAGGGGTGAGCATCTGTATCACCTCCAAACCTGGTGAGAGTCTGTGTGTTTGCTAGTAAAGCTTTTAAGTGGGAGCAAGGCACTGTGGGTAGGCAAGGGGTGTGGGGTTCTAGTAGGGGGCTGGGTGGGCAGAGGTGCTGTGCTGTGCTGGGGAGACATCGCACGTGGGCCTGCAGCAGGGGCTGATGGTTCTCCTGGCCTCAGGGCAGGAAGGGGGGGACTGTGCCCTGTGGGTGTGGGTCCTGCTGAGGAAGTGCCTTGCCTGAGGCAGTCTGTATGACTGGCTGTCTCAGTGCCTGTGGGGTAGGTGCTCAACCTCATTGCTCATTGAACCTGTGCAAAATGGCATCGTGACCCTCAGCCCAGGCAAAAACCCCAGCACCAGGCTGGTTTTCAGCAGGGAGGCAGGAGGGAGTCCATGACCAGAGCTGTTGGAAGAAGCAACTACTCATAGCATACTGTAACAAATTACACTTATCAAATTTAAGTAGAGATGTCTTAAGTGTTTCTAGTTTTGGCAAAGTTAATAATGCACCTTCAGATTTTACCTGATGTACCCCTCATGAGTTGGATTTAAATGAACTCTTATCGAGTAGTTTTAAGTTCAGTGGGGTAGGTGACTTTGAAAGGAAAACTCTCTGTTCTTGATGTTACAGTTGAATACAAAACGCCTTTGTAAACAAAATGAGCTATCACTCCATGCTACTACTCATCTGTACATCCCTGGAACCATATTTTTGTGTGTCAGTATCTGAGTGGAAACATAAGGTAGACTTGAAAAATAAACCAATTGTCTATATTCCATTTCAGATTGAGAAAATACTATCATACTGAGTTATAAATTTTACATAAAGTAATAGATTACTGTAGTTCTCATTGAAAACGTGACTATGTTTAACTGGTATCCAGAAAAAATGTGTTGATACCTGTTATCAGAGTTTGCAGGTGTTCTGTAGTGGGCACTAGTGAATGTTTTCTCCTAGTGCAGTTATTTACATAGGTTCTTCCTTGTTCTTTCTGTTTTCTCATTGCTTACTTAGTTTCTTGTGGTCAATTTTTGTGAAAGGATTTCATGATGCATTTTTCTTCTTGACTTTAAAATTTGTATTTTATTTTCATATGAAGACCTTTGCTGTTCAGAACACAAGGAGGATCTGTTTCTCTGTGTTCACGGATCAAGAATTCCTCTGTTGTAATACGTTTTTCTTGCTAGATTGCTTTAAATCAAAGGACTTGGCTAATAATATTTTTTCTTCATCAACAGCCGATTTATTTTGCACATTCCAAGTGAAGAGAGAGACAATGCAATCAGAGTGTGTTTTCAGATTGAACTTGCCCATTGGTTTTACTTGGATTTCTACATGCAAAACACACCAGGATTACCTCAGTGTGGGATAAGGGACTTTGCAAAAGCTGATATCCTTTTTATTGTTGTCATTGTTTTCTGTCTCACTGCAAACTGAATCTTAACAAAGCGTTGTGCCTGCAGCTGGAAAGTGAGAGACAATTTATATGTTAATGATTAAAAGTAGTATTTCTAGGTATGTGATATTTATCCTTTGGTTCCATGATTTTGTGGCATCCACAAAACAGCCTATGGAAAACAGGTAATTTCTAATCTTTGAGGATATTTCCTTTCGGTTGCAGTCAGACAAGAGCACTTTGTGATGCTTTTTCTCCTTTGTTTAATCTCTTTCCAGTAAAATGCTGTAGTAAAATGTTAATCTAGCTGAAGACGGTGAGTTGTTAGATGCTTCTAGAAGCTGTTCTATTGGAATGAGAATGTATGAATTTTTTCTAAAGTTACTGTGTTTGACTTCTGCATTTTTTCTTTTCCTGGTGGAACGTAGACAATCTGTTCATCACTGGAGAAAAACCCATGGGGAAAATTTCATGTCAGCACCCAAAAATAGGTTATAAGTTAAGCAATTTCCATCCGTTTTTGATGTGGCTTTGAGTGCTTCTAATTTTCATTGTAATATCTGTGGTTTCACCACCCAAAATATTCCTTGTTAGCTTGATGGGAGATTTATTATTAAATGCTTTAACATCTGTTTTAACAGTACACTTTATAGATGTGGTCTTCTTTTTTTGCTCGATGTTATGCAGCAAATTTTTATGAAGTTTTTTTTTTTAATTTTCAGACCAATTGTAGATAGTGCGGGAATAATAAAATACATACTGTTCGTTCACTACATCTTTCCTTCTTTGGCATTTGTCAGAAATACTAATTTTGTTGCCGTGTCTTATTTTTAAGTACACTGCTATTTAATGTTTGGTTATTTATTATTGGCAGTATAACTTTATAGATAATTTTCTTTGAATATTTGTGTGTTTACTTTCAATGGTTTTGGTTTACAAAGCTTGTTCATGTTTTTCCTGCTTGGTGAATCTTAATAGTGCATTGGAATTTAGATTTCTGGAACATGATGCCATTACAAATAATTTTTTTTTGTTTTTTCCTCTTATCTATGTGTTTAAGTATGATTTCTGTGCAGTAGTCCTACGAATGATTATGGGAAAATTTCTTCTCCAAGCTAGAGATAAAGTGGTCTTGCCTGTCCCATTTGTTTCATAACATTAAAATGTTTAAAATAATAATATATATTTAAACTAATCATCTGAAGTACATTTTCTGCAAGATTAGGGAGTTCTCTCAAACAAGCACTTTTGCACCATCTTTTTTTTTATCTTTTAATTGGCTTGCATTAGAATTTGCAAATTCCTTAACGCTTTCTAATCTTTAGAATTTGGTAATGAATTATCCAAAATATCTATAACTTCCAAGAATTTGTTTTGAAAGCACTTGGAGGAGGAAGTATGGTTATTCTAAGTATTGAGTTGACTATCTTGTCTGTCTGTATGTGACTGGAAACTGGATGCTTAAGATTAGCTTCCTTAATGCGCTGCACTCTTCAATCACTGCCCTTTTTTACTGCCTCAAGGTGAAGATGTGCAAAAGGTTTTAGATGAGTGGAAGGAATATAAAATGGGAGTGCCAACTTACGGTGCAATTATTCTCGATGAGACACTTGAAAATGTAAGTATGGAAATAGTTGTGAAGAACTAGAGGGGAGGAGTATGGGCATGTGCTGGTACAGTAATCTTTTCGTAGTTTACATTTATCATCTGGAAAAAACAAACACTTTGGATTCGCAGAACTTGACGTATATGACATTGTTGAATGCATATGGAGATCAAATATGGGAATAAAATATTGGAGACAGTAAACACTCTTCTACTTGCTTTCCTATTCTGTTCTGCTTTTTTAATTTCATGATGCTATTAAAAACAAACAAATGAAAAACCAGAAAAACCAAGGTTCTTGCTAGAACACAGAGACCCTGTTGGGTTCCTCTCTCCTGTCTGAGGCCCCTTTTTTGCAAGGAAGCAGGAGGCAGTGCAGGGAAGAGATTTAATATAAATTAAATCATGTTAGAGTAGTTGGTTATTTGCCTGTTGTTCACTGTGTTTTGCAGGTTCTTTTGGTTCAGGGCTATTTAGCAAAATCTGGTTGGGGATTTCCTAAAGGAAAAGTAAATAAAGAAGAGGCTCCTCATGATTGTGCTGCTAGAGAGGTAACTTTTGTTTGTTTCCCTCAAACTGATTTTTTTTCTTTTGACTTAAATGATATTTTAATAAGAGCAAAGATGCGTGTATATGTGTTAGATGAGAGGACAATTTACTTTGCTGTTTCTTCATTGGAGTTGGATAATTTTTTTTATTCTTATTGCAGTGTTCTGCTGTGGCATGCAGCTCTGAGTTACAGAGTGGTAACTGAGGGTGTGGTTATGCAGTTTAAAATGTTTGATGTTTTTCACTGTTGTATAGTAACACGCAGAATGAAATGGATTCTGCATTGAAAGATCTGTTCTGAATAACTTTGACCTTTAAATATTACTTTATGTTTAACAAATGTAATAAATATTAATGTTATGAGACTCCATGCATTTTGGAATATTAAATCAAAGAGCCAACAAAATGTAAAATGATAAAAGAATTGAAGTTTAGCTTATATGTAAACTTGGCTCTGTGAAGAGGCCGCATTGAGTTGGGTGTTGTAAGTCACCGTGTGAAAATAGTGAAGAACTTTCATTCAGTGATAAAGGAGCAAGCATCAATATCTGTGGCAAGTAAAGACTAAAGAAAACAGTCCATGAGGTCTTCTGTTGCGGAAGACCTTGCAGAACTGTGTGTTAAAAACAATGAAAGAACAGTATTGGTGTAAACTCAGTGTTCCTCTAATATAACACAGCTGGAATTTTTGAAAGGGAAGACAGAGATGAGGGGAAGCAGCAAGGTGCTTTCGTTTTCCTCATGAGTCGGTATCTGAGAAGTTGTGGACTTTTTCTTAAATGTACTTCTTTAAGATGCCTGAATGAAAAATTGATTGTCTCATTCCCTGACAGTGCTTTCAGCACCACTATGATACTTAGTATTGACCTGAAAAAGGAAAATAAGGTGTTAGGTTTTAACAGTGCAATCCCATGCAACAGGTGCAAATGAAAAATACTTTTATATTAGCACTTCTGGTCTTTGAATGTAGACTGTTTTGATACAGTACTGGCTAGCTTGAGGAAAAGGGGATTGCCCCACCTACTGCCCTGGTCCACTGTAAGTAAGTGGTTGAAATTTTACCAGGCAAATGCTTCTGGGGTTGGGCTGAGTGATTACATCCCAAAGGAAAGGAGAGCAGAAAAAAAACATGGACAACAAAACAATGGGCACAGGCATTAAAGTGGGGACAGTTTTACTAGGAAAAATATGATAATCGTGTTTTTAGTTTGGAGAATGTATTATATATATTACATCAGTGCACAACTGTTGCTTGTTTCTGTGAAGGCGGATAATCGTTGTGGATAAGCAGGCAAAGTCTTGAAAACTTGTGTTGCCAGACATTGTGATGTCCATAAAATCTGTGCATAAATCTTTTTACTGCTTTTCCTAGAGTCAGCACGCAGCTAAAACAGTGAACTGCACCTGTATGTGGTCTATTTGAGGAGATCTTCACTGATTCCTTAGACAGCTCAGTGTTTCAGAAACTGATGAAAGATTAAATGATTGACTATCTTTACAGAATAAGTTTCTGTGATTAATTTATTTAACTTGTCTGAACGAATCGTTTAACATATATATACTATATATATATGTTAAATATATATATATTTAATATATATAGGGTAGAAGGTTCATGAATTGGAAGGACCATTGGATGTGAGAAAAAATTGAGCTGCGAATGAAGCTTGTTAGAATTTGAAGACTTCTTTACACTCAGAGTAGTGGGTGCTGTGAATAAGACTTGAATGCGTGAAGCAGCTGGAGCCATCCTATCCATAACAATAAATTGCTATGTGGAAGTGTAGTAGGGTTATTGCTACTTGTTATTGCTGATCTGTTTGTCTAAGGGAAATGTAAACCACAGAAGATCTTAACATATTTTCATTATTGAGCATATACCTGTGTATCAAGTGGTTCTCCTCTCCTCAGTGGCCCGCTCTCATGAATAGGTCCTGAAGAGTAGTTGTCTTGCATTGTGATGGCAGGTTCTAAATAAATTTGAATATGCACCCTGTTCTAATTTATGTGCTTCTCAGGTGTTTGAGGAAACTGGATTTGACATAAAAGATTATATCTGTAAAGAAGAATACATTGAGCTGCGAATTAATGACCAGCTAGCACGACTGTACATCATTCCAGGAGTTCCCAAGAACACAAAATTCAATCCCAAAACTAGAAGGGAAATTCGGGTATGTGTTAACTTTTTTAGTTCTGCAGGTACCTTGTGGTACCTACCATTTTTTAAATTCACAATCTGTAAAATAATAAACCTACCATACATGATGGATACTTTAAATACTAGTAAAATAGTTTCGTGAGTCTTGCTTGCTTGCTGCAACTTTAATGCTAAGTTTGATTCTTGACAGTCTATAACGTCTTTACTTGTCATGAAGTGCATGCAGTCAAACAGGAGTTCTTACCTTCTTTCTTAAGTAGTATATGTGTTAATCATTCCATTTTATTCCAACTTGTAGGTGTATATGTAACTATATTCTTCTAAGGGCGTAGTTATTAATTGATATACAAAACCTTACATGTTGAAAGGGAAAGCTGTGGCTTGTCTTCTCCCTTTCATTGTTAATACTGTCCAGACTTAGAGAAAAATGCATTTTAAGAAGGTGGTTGGGAAGGGGAAAGAACATCAGGAACTGCTGTTTTTGGTGATCTGTCCAGGCTTTTAAAAGATCCCGTGGAGAGAAGATACAAAGACTCAGGTAGTAGACTCTAGTAGGCTTGGATATTATGTTCCTGTTGGTAATGCTCACCATCTTCGATATTTTAATATCTTTCTTGTATTATAACTTACTTTAAAACAGCTATCACCGTGTTTCCATGAAGATGGTACTGCTCAACAGGGCATCTGGCTTTCTAAGTAGGAAAACGAACTAATAGTTGATGGCACAGAAATCTCTTTGTTATTTCTTGCACTAGAGATTTTTTTTTCAAAAGTGATTCAACACTGAACTTCAGTAGTACCACTTCAGTTGCAAGTAAAAGAGGATGAATAGCAAGGCTCTTTTCAGTGAAGAGTAAATACCTCTCATGCTATTTTTTCTTCGCTCCCACACAGATGTTCACTGCTCTGTATAGTTATTATAGTAATAGGTTCTTGTCTTACTGGTGTAGTATGTTCTTCATTTGATCTAATGAAGGTCCACACATGCCATTTTAGTATTTCTTGCAGAGTTATACTGGAGAACCCTTTCAGTTTGTAACTTTCCATAATATTCCTCTTAACCAGACCTGGGATTTTGCAGCTAAATTCTTCCATGGAAAAGTTCATGTAGGGTCTTATATACTATGCATATTCAAAATTCCTGATTTTTCCCACTCACAGCAAAGTGTAAAATGTAGAGTTTTAATTGTTAAAACTACAATGTAAAAATTCTCATGTATATTTATCCTCATTTTTTTTTCTAATTCTATAACAAAATTTGCAATTTATTCTGCAAATAAAATTCCCTTGTTTCTGATATTTTTTTTTAAACTTGTATGGGTGGACTAGTTTTAATGGCATTTTAAATAAAAGCAGCAAGATTACTAGTGTCTTGGAAATTTATTTAAATCCTCTCCTATTTTATGGCATTCACTGTGCAATGGGTTTTTGTGTGCTTGTTTTTGTGAAATGCTTACTCAGGATTTAGTTGCTGGATAATACATTTCAAGTTTTATCTTCTAAGTATGAGATATATGGTCCATTATTCCACGGTTACAGTAGATCAATCAATTCAATCATTAGATAACATTTTGTGGAAAGTGCCATTGCTATCTGTTGAAATCTTTCTTTCTAATTTTTTTTTTATTAGGAATATGTTCTGTTTTAAGATGGCAGGTGGCTCAGCACTGCACAGTCACTTGCTCAGTCTTCCCTGACTTCCAGTGGGATGGGAGAGAATCAAAAGGAAAAAAACACAGTAGAACTTGTCAGCTGAGAGAAAGCTATTTACTAGGAGAAAAGGATAATAATTATGACAAAAATATACATACATATGTATATATATATTGCATATGATTCATGTATATCGCACATATATGAAATGCACATTATATGTGAATGTATATAACCAGTGATGCACAAGCAATTGCTCACCACCCCCAACTGATGCCCATCTAGACTTCCTAACAGCACAAGAGAGCCAGAAGAATTCTCATCCCCTTCAAAACTCCTTCCACGTGATGTCATATGGTGTGGAACATCCCTTTGACCAGTTCCAGGCAGGCTTCCTAATTCTTTCCTCCCAGCCCCTTAGGCTTTTTGCTGTGAATGGCTTGGTTCCATACAGCGCTGCTTAGCAGCAACTATAGACATAGTGTGTTAGCAAAATTGTTTTTCTCCTAGAGCCAAAACAAAGCATAGTACCAGACACTCTGAAGAAAATAATTCCATCCCAGATGAAACTAATAATAATATGTTTGATACACACTTGTAACATTCTCTGAGGCTATGGCAGTGGATATTTTGATTATTTTTTTCTTGTTTTTCTAGAACATTGAGTGGTTTTCCATCGATAAATTACCATGCCACAGAAATGACATGACCCCCAAGTCCAAGCTAGGTTTGGCACCTAACAAATTTTTTATGGCCATTCCTTTTATCAGGTATGTTCAAGATGAGGTAAATGCTAGGTCAGTGCCTTTTGAAAAACTTTCATTTCATTAGATTTCTAGTAGTAAGCAGATCTTTTTGAACTTCTGCTTGCTTACAGGCCATTGAGGGAATGGATTTCCCGAAGGAATGGAGGAGATTCCTCAGATAGTGACAGATTTTCACCTACAGGGAGCACACCCTCTAAGCCCAACTTGGAAAAAGCTAGGTAAGAACCAGGTCAGTTTAACTTCTCCACATCCTTTTATAAGATATTGGTCATACAAATCTGATTGTCCTTTATCTGAGGAATCTATTCCAGTAATAGACTGTGCTAATTAAAAATAAATAATAATTAAGGGTTTATCTCAGAGGCCTGTAAACAGGATTGAAAGTTAACAGTTGTTGTCATTTCAAGTTTTTTAGTAAATTCTGAAGTGTCCAGAAATTAGGCAATTCCTTGAGTCCTGTTTTTAGGAACAAACAAACAAAAAAAAAGACATGAAAACAAAACAACAACAACAAAACAAAACAGAAAAAGACTCTCTAAAGACGAAGCAGTGTGGTAAAGTAACATAGCATGTAGTAGCTAGATAAAACCTATGAGAATCAGTGGAGGGGGAACAAGTGCTACTGGTTTCTCTTTCAGCTAGGATAAAAGTGATAGAGCAAACTTATAACCTGGACTCACAAAAACAAGACTTCAGTAACGTGAACGAGGTCAGCAACACAATATATTATGAATGACAGTGTGGGCTGAGACTGCCGCTGATGTTGGACTTGGTCTTCCTATCTGCAGCTGGATGAGTGATCGCTATTACATTTTCCACACTGGATTACTTCAGCCTGTCTTCCAAGTTGTTGTCAAATGCAGAAGAATCATTGTATGTCTGTTCTGCAGCGAAGAGACTTTACGATGTATTGTAAACTCTTGTTTTCATGTACTAGATCCAGACTTCGTAGTAGTCAACAGCTGTTCACTGATGGCTGTACAGGAGAGCAGTGGATGAAGCAAAAGCAGCAACAAAAGCCATGTAATCATCCTGAGATGTCTGAAGTGTTAAAAACAAAGGTAGGCTGCTCCTTAGTCAAACATGTGTATCTGGTCTTAATTGAAATAGATGCATTTTTTGGTAAGTGTTCCTCCCTGGAACTAAACATACTGAATTTTATGAACATAGCATGCAAAATAAAAAATAAAATTAAAAAAAAAAAAAAAAAAAAGCGATGGCAAGAAAACAAACAAAATGTAGGGATTTCTCAAATTTAGTTTATTTGCTTGGTACTGATGTTAGAAGTGATGGATATTAGGTGGTAGTTGTGTTACGTTATACATAAGCAGTAATTGCTTTTCATTTTCATTTCAATATATATTTATTTTCATTTCAAGACACTGTGATGCCTTTCGTAATTTTGAAATACTTTGGGTATCACTGACATGCATGCTGTAGTTGTGCAGGAGACTAAGTAGCTGGTGACTTGAGTGCATGATTGGCTAATTTCAGTGTACTTCAGTTTATCTAAAAATCGTGTCAAATGTTTTAGGGTTATTTGGAGGAAAGTAGGAAGTGTCAGTAATGTCTTATGCTGCCATTTAAACTCTTCTCTTGACTACCTTTTGGACATAATGGCAGAGTCAGAGCTTGAAGGGCAATGGCAGAAAGCAGAATCAAGACACTCCTGCCCAAAAGAAGAGAAATGGAGTCCACAGTCAACCAGCTAAGCAAAACCATGCTTTGGTAAGAAAAATTTAGTGGCTATCTCAGTAGTTAACAGTAATGCTTAGTACATGTCCAGGCAGAAGCCCTGCTAAGGGAAAGTGATTTGCGTATCATAGATCATAGACTGGCTTGGGTTGGAAGGGACCTCAGGGACCATCCAGTTCCAATCTCCTACCATGGGCAGGATTGCCACCCACCAGATCAGGCTGCCCAGGCTGCATCCCACCTGGCCTTGAACACCTCTTAGGGATGGGGCACCCACAGTTTCTCTGGGCAGTCTGTGCCAGTGCCTCACAACTCTCTGATCAGTAATTTCCTCCTGGTATCTAGTCTACATCTTCCCTCTTTTGAAGAACATTCCCTCCTTGTTCTGTCGCAATCATACCACATTGTAAAATCTGTCTCCCTCCTGTTTATAAGCTCCCTTCATGTACTGGCAGGCCACAGTGAGGTCTCCCTAGAGCCTTCTAGGGAATATGCTGAACGAGCCAGCTCCCTTAGCCTTTAGTCGTAGGAGAGGTGCTCCAGCCCTCTGACCGTACTCTGGACCCGCTCCAGCAGCTCTGTATCTTTCTTGTGCTTAAGGCCAAAGGCCTGCGTGCAGAAGTCCAGGTGAGCCACCACGAGACCTTGCAATGGCAGAGTAGAGCGGGTTAGTCACTTCCTTCTCCCTGCTGGCCATTCTTCTTTTGATGCATCTTAGGATACAGTTGTCTTTTTGGGCAACTGTGCATGCTTCTGGCTTGTGTCCTCTGCAGAGTTGCTGTCAAGGAATCCTTCTTCCAGTCTGTACTCATGTCTGGGACTGTCCTGACTCAAGTGCCTGTGAACTTCTTTGATTTCACAGGGGTCATATGGGCCCCCTGCCAGCGCTGTCCAGGTCCCTCTGGACAGCATCCCTTCGTTTTGCTGTATAAACTGCACCACTTATCTTGAGGTTGTCAGCAAATTTGCTGAGGGTGCACTCAAACCCACTGTCTGTGTCATTGATTAAACATTAAAGAGCTCTGGTTTGTAGGAATAAGACATTTGAGCACATGGACCTACAAATAATGCATCCTTCCTTTGAAGTCTGCATTTTGAAGCCAAGCTTATTTTAGCTGTTGAAAAAATTAGACATTTCACTAGACAATCCTTCTGCAGCTTTCCTGGTTTCAGTATGTCTTAGTTTCTTCAATGCTGATGTTTTACCCTTTATTGTAAAAAAAAAAAAAAAAAAAAATTAAATAAATAAATATATATATATATATATATATAAAATTTAATACAGAACAATTAGATACATTTATTATTTTTCTCCTCAGTACCAAAATTTTGATATACAGACTTGCCTTGCATGCCATTATCTCATATAATTTTTTATCAAATTCTTTGGTGTGTTACCTTTCACATGCAGTAGTAAGTAACCATACTTGTCCCAGAGTTTTGATGGCTAGGAGAAGACAACACTGAGATATCTTCTGTATATTATCTCTTTGAAATTCTTTCCCCCACAGTTCTTTCTAACCCAAATTCTGTGTTACCAATTCATGTGCAGCTGTGAGCCCCAGTTCTCCATTCATCACAGCTGGCTTTAGTTTCTCTTTATTGGCTTTAGATTCTTCCCATTCTGGCTGTTAACTTTCTGATTTTCTTGTAAAAATGGAAACACAATAACCTCCTTCATTCTGTGAAGTTCTTTTCATTGCAAGAGATGGTTAGTTGCTTGTAGGTCTGAGAGCAGAAGAATGGAAAATAGAATGATTGACTGCAGAAATTTAGCTGCATGGGAAAACAAGGTGAATCTCTAGAATCTTGATGGAGACTAGTGGAAATGTTAATACTGTGTAGTCACAGTCCAAGCTCTTTAGTGACTTTGCTGAATACCTCTGTGGCATTTCACTTGCATTTCCATTGATTGTTAATCTGTTGAAATTTAAACACTTCATGCCCCAGCGATAATTTTCTAATGAAGTTTACAGGCCTGCTGCTCTTAAATTTACATAGTGCAGAGAGCCGTGCTTTTTTCTGTTTGTATGCGTATAGCTGCATATCTAGGGCTAACAAATCATCCCTGGAGAATTCTAAATTTGTGTCTCTAATGCATGGTAATCTAATTGGCAGTAGTTTGCTGCTTGAAAAATGCACTCCTCTTGATTTCTGGGACAAAGAATAGGCTTATGTATGTGCAACTTCAAGTCCACACCATCGTGCTGTAAGACCTTTCTGGCTTATGACATCTAGAAAACAGAATTTTTGTTTTTCTTAAAAGCTTGCATTTTGAAAATGGTTGGTTGATAGTTACTAGGTTAGGATTTTTGGATCATTAAGAGAAAATTTTTGTATTCAGAGTGGTGAGGCATTGGCACAGGCTGCACAGAGAAGCTGTGGATGCCCCATCCCTGCAGGTGTTCAAGGCCAGGTGGGATGGAACCATGAGCAGCCTGGTGTGGTGGGTGGCAGCCCTGCCCGTGGCAGAGGGTTGGAACTGGCTGGGCTTTAAGATCTTTTCCAATCTAAGCCACAATATGAAGATTGCAGTGTTTCTGAAAGATTTATGGACTTGGTGTTAGTAAGGTAACATCACAGAATTTATCCTGAGTTGTAAGTAACACAACTCACAGAGGTACCATGTCAAAGCAAGAACAGCAAGTATGTTTCTTAGCTAACACTTAAGCTACGCTCCCAAGAGATATAATGCCATGTTTTCTTAACTAAGTGTAATGTGTTTTTGTTCTCTTAAACCAGAAATGTGAAAAAAAGCTTAATCCAAGAAAACTTCAAGATAATTTTGAAACAGGTAAGTACATTTTGAATTTCCATCTAAAGTCATAGAATCACTGAAAGACGATCATTGTGTCCAAACACCAAAAGTCCAATACTAATCTGTGTCCCTAAGCTCTGTGTTCACACATCTCTAGGGATAAGTGCCTCCAGGGACTCATGCTTTGGAGTCACGCACTGAAGGCTGAAGTCACCCTACTTACAATGTTCGGGATACTTTCCTTGTTTGCTGGTCTATCAGGTGTTATTTTCTAAGGAAGTCCAGGTTAACCAAATGGAAAACATTTGGTTAACTTAATGTTGTAAAATGTATTGGTTTTGCAGTTCTCCTCAGTTGTGAAAGTTGTCAGATTGGATCCTATTTGTGGGTGAAAAATACCTAAAAATTGGTTTACAAAATTAGCATTTCAGCTAACAGAATGCTGGCGATTAAGTAAGTGTAGGTTCAGGGCTTTCTGTCCTGCTAGTAATAACTGGGATACTCTGGAGTGTTTGTGCAGTTTTTTATTTCCTGCTTAGAAAGTAGGATTGCATTTATTTACTTCTTTACAAGTTATATAGTGCAAAACAGCAACATCTCTGAAAAACTAGCAATTCAAGTTGTCTTCAAATTGCTGTGACTTCTAAGATTTGTTCTAGCTGATAGATTTGTAAGTATGGCTTTTTGATCAGGAGCAGAAAGAGATAAATCAGGCAATGGTTTTTCCATTTTTATTAATTAGATATAATTTCAGGTATGGCTTTGTATTGTCAACAATTTTCTTACTTATGACTAGACACTTAAAATTGATTTCATGTGTTTTCTCTTTAAGCAGATGCAGTGTATGAGATCTGCTGTTCTGGTGAAGATCTGCTGCAGGAGCATGTAGAGGGGCACTCTGTGGCATGCAATGGCAATTACAAATTTGCTTTCTCATCTAGAGCTTTCTTGAGTTTCAAATTTGACCACAATGCCATAATGAAATGTTTTGACCTCTGACAGCAAATCTTTTACGAACAAAGTTCAGACTTGCCTGTTGCAATTGAGGGGGTTTCTTATCTAGCCTTACTCTTTCTCAGGAGTTTTTTAATTACTGTTGTTGAATTTTTGTTGTTGTTCATTTGTTTTTAAATGCAGTGCAGGGACTGACTGGTGGTTTGGAAGGGTTTGTTCTCTTTGCAGTTCCAGAGTGGCATAGTCAAGTGTTGCACTTTAAATGCAGTATAGCCTTTGTCCACAAAAGTACCTTTCCAACCCTCAGTTTACTTGTTCCTAGCCATGCATTAAAGGGCATTCTTTTTCCTCATTTTTTTGTGTTTTTTTTCAGATTGACATTGACTTTTTTTTTGTACTGCTGGAGTACACCAGCTAGTTAGACTTCTAACTGCTCTGATGTAAATTATTGGACTTGTTAGTCATTATTTTATAGTGCATTGCAATATTATGGCAGCGGCAATGAAACTGGTTCTCAGAGGATTCCTCTGTCCTGGTAATTTTTAAACCGGAAGTTGCACATTTCAAACCTTGCCTCAGCCTATTATCCTTTCTTTTTCCTGATTGTTTGCCCGCTGTATCTTCCCTCCTTCACACTGAAAATGAACTTCTGATGGCTGGCAATCAGTAGTACATGGGTCAACTTATAGCAATTTGACTTCTCAGGTACCTACTCTGCCACTGTTTCTGGCAAGGATATGCAGACTAGGTAGAACTTAGCCTTGAGAGTGTCTAACTTCACCTCTTACCCAGATGGGAACAGCACATAAAAAGAAAATTTTCAAAAAAGAAAATCTCAAACTAGCTTGTGGGAGGTTTCTTATGTAGAATTTATACTGAATGTAAATAAGCCTCTACATCTTGCCAGGAGGAAAGAAGGTGCATGGATAATAGAATCATTGTGTGACACTAAATGACTTAATCAGGCTTGCAATAACTATTCTAAGGATGTCCAGTATAGTATTCCGTGCTGTTGTCGTCAGTTCTTCCCTTTAGTTTATGCTCTGTATATGTATATATATACATATATGTAGTAGTACTGAATTGCACTTGCAGTTAGCATTTTAATGATGTAGCCTCAGTCATTTTCAGCTACAACTTTTTCTTAGTAATAATATCAAATGTACAAAGAAAAAAAAGCAGTAATAGTTGAGGTGATGAACTGTTAAGTGTTTAATCACTCTATTCATGTTAGTGATTTGAACACAAGGTTTGCAGTTCAGAGAAACGCACTGAACTTATTTGATACAGCAGCTTGTGTTATCAGGAATATTGTCCCAGATTTAAAAATGGACTTCCATCTAAAATTAACTTGTGTGATTAGTAACTTCCACGCTGAATGAACTAGGCCCTCTTCTCTCATTCAGAGTGTATGGTCATGCACTGCGTCTTTATGCAACTCGTATGGCATCCAAAAACACAATCCTTGTCTTCCTTTAACTACCCTGCTTCCTTTATTACCTAGTGTTTTTCCTCAGAAATAGCTTTAGAATTTGGCTTGTTTAATCTTCCTAAGGCCAGGTGATTTGGGACTCCAGTGCTCTAACACTTCTGGCAACAAAAATTGTGGATTTTTCTATAGGTTAACAGGAGAAACAGACTACAGCATTTCTTCCTTCTGGAGAACAAGAGTCCTGAGGACCTTGTTTTTCAAGACCAAATCATGAAATAACTCAATCTAGCTTTGTCTCACCTTGTTTAAAAATAAATAAATAAATGCAAAGATTGTTCAAAACATTAAGTTGAAAAGTACAGTAAGTGAAAAGGTGGGATAACGCTGGAGATTACTCAGCTTCAGGTAAAAGTAATCCTTAGTTATGTTTCTAATGCAAGTAGTTGATTTCCCAGCAAAAGTGCCTTTACTCATGGTGAGGCAGAAGTGTATATTCATATCTGGAGGCTGCTGCTGCCTGTGGAGTTAGCAAAACTCTCCTAGGGCATGATTCAGTATCAGGCTGTGGAAATCTGTAAAATGTAGGTTGATATTTTTAAAAAGTTATATTTCATGTAGTGCTCTGTGAAATAAGGGGAATGTTGATGAAACCATAAATTTGGAACTTCTGTCACAGACAGAGGAAGTCTTTAAAATGAAGCGTGTCCTATGAGTAGGAGTTGCTGGGTGCTTTCTCTTCACTGGATCATTTTTTTTGTTCCTAGTGAAAGCCTGGCTCAGTGTAAGAGAGGCTGATTGCTTCATTAAGCAGCCCAAAGTGGGGCTTACACACATTAATGATTTTAGTAAATCTAGCCTTAATGTGAGTTGCAAATAAATGTGATAAATATGCAATAACTTTTACTTCTTTGTATAAGGGTACTGTTCCTTGTAGTATTATTGCTTTCTGCTTCCTAAGTAAGGTTGCTAAAACCTGAGTGTGGTGGCATGTGACCTATGGTTTCCATCATGCCCTGCACTGTGAGCATTTTGGATTGTTTACTATTAGTTCATGTTCTTATTTCACCGTCATTTTATAGTTAAATATATTTCCAAGTTTAGAAGTATACAGTTTACATTCTTTTCTGCAAAACAGTGAAGAAATAACAAGTGAGAGATTTTAATTCAGTTTTTATTTTTGGGAGCTAGACACAGGAAGATAAGTAACTGCATGCCAGACTGAAGAGGTGATGTCAGGATGCTTGATAAAAATAAGCCAGAATGTTCCCCTGGAAGAGGGGTCATTCAGAGTATGAAAGGTCACTCAGTTTTCTTGAAATTGAAGAAGGTATGGAATGTCCAAATTATAACATAAGAACAACAAATGTTTGGGTACTAGGAACCTACTACTGCTTTGCTATTTCTGGTACCACATAAATTCTCTGTCTTGGTGGAGTTTTATGGCATCTATCCACCATGCAGAATGCCTTGAAGATTGACTGAAGAGTGATCTGCCAAATGGAATTAAGGATGTTCTGTACTGTTGCATTAACTCCTTGATGTACAAGCATGCTTCTGAAAATACCTGTGTCTGGCGTAGTTTGAAGTCAGAAAGCGGTGGTATTGAGAAAAGGGGATATAGCTTTATTTACTGCACAATCAAGGCTTTTTAATTTTTTTTTTTTACACTTAATTTTAGACCAAACCTGCATAAGTAGTTTGTGACACAATTTTGGGCCTAGTTCTTTTACCAGGCTTCCAGTGCTGTGCTCCAATCTTCCAGATCTAGTTTAGTGAACTGAGAACAATGCTGATTGTGTTTTGCCTTCACCTGCTTGAGGCTGTTGTTTACGTAGCAGTTACATTTATAAACAAGGCAGACTTTGAGTCTGGCTATTCTAATAGACTTGCTCTCAGATTGAGCACTGTTTTCCAACTCTTTGTGTTTATTGATTTGCAGTGTATGTCTGCACTCATACCATTCTAGTATGACAAGCAAGAGTCTGCATTTAGAATCCAAGCTGTAATGTCCTGGGGGTACAGATGGCACTGCTGCTCCATGGGTGACATAGGTAAGAAATTCTAAGCAACAGATTTTTTCAGAGATAAAAATCACGTGCCTTCATCTTTTAAATTAAGAAGTTACATTCTGAGAACTAGTAGAATAGCCTCCCTTGTTGATTGAAAAGCAGATTATTCACATAAAATTGAGCTTGCACTGTAACTGTTGAAGAATCTGGTGCTTACATGTGACTTCATATAAATTTCAGCTTGTTTTTGTTATTAAAATATTTCAACTTTTGAAGCAACCAAAATAATTTCTGAGGTAAATTTCTACTAACTGAAGGTGCTTTTACAGTACATTAGGCTTGGAAATGTCTCTACTCTTGCATAACAGATTTTTGTTCTAATATGTTTATAGCTATAGTCTAGTTCAAGAATGAAAGAAGTGGGTGAAGTATGAGTATCAGCACTGTTCTTAATACTGTACATATGCACTGATAGATGCAGTAGGATTTGTGCTGTGTGTGCATTTAACTGTTTCAAGTAGGTTGTGAACTTACAAGCAAGACGATGTAGCAATTACATTGGCCACGTTCAGAATCATACAAGATAAAATTACTTGGATTATTAGGAGTACATTAAAATCTAATGCTTGGGTTCTAACCTGTCTTTTCATTAAAAGTGCAAGGTTAAAATAGACCAACTTACAGATTCCAATTTACTGGAACACTTACCTTTAAATAGTTCTCAACTGTGGAATACTTCTTGGAAGAAAATGTGTCTTCATCTGTCAAAGTTGGGGGAGGGGGAGAAACAAGTATACTTTTTTCACAGGGTACAAAGTGTTTATAATTTAGTAGGTCCACCCTGAACTTTATGGAAAATACTTGATCAGAAGAACTAACTTGCAATTTGTTTCTGTTATGGGTTATACTTCAGTGCCCTGAAGAAGATAACTACATCCCATCAGGTGCTGATTTTAAAACAGGCATCCACAGCTTTTTAAGAATACAGCACCTACAAACTCAGTTCTCTACAACACACTTTTCACTGATAAAAGTTTACTTGCAACTTTTTCTAAGCACGTTTGAAATTAAGCTGGGGAGGCAAACCATTTATTTTTACTGTTTGGGTGCATATTTCTGTTATACAGGAAAAGTTTGTAAAATTCATGATTTAAAAGCTCTCAGTAAACACTTCTCAAGCCAATACTTAAGACAGGATCCTTAAGGAATTTTACCATGTCTGCCTGGCACTGCAGTATGTGGAAGCAGTACTTCAGCCTTGAGGACCCGTCCATACAGGTTTGCAAGAAACTTTGACATAAGGAAAACAAACAAACAACAAACAAAAAAAGAAACCACAAAAAAGAAGCCAAGACAAACAAGCCTGCAAAAATAAAAAACCCCAACAGCAACAACAACAGAAAGAAGAAAAGAGACCCCACAGAGGAAGGTGGGGGTTTGTTCATTAATTCTGGCTTAATGCTGAATCCCTATACATGCACAAGGACTTGGACTGACTCAGATATTGCTGCCTAAAGAAAACTTTTCTGTGCAGTGTTGCATGCCTTGCAGCAAAATAGAGCCCGTGTTTTATTCTGTGGCTCATGCATGATGGTTTATGTCTTCCTCCTGTTTCTTTAAAGAAAGAAGTTAAATCTGTTTTCCTCACTGGTATGGAAGTGGCATATCAGTGCTAAGTAGAAAGTACTTACAGCTAGTTGTGGGTTGAACCTATGTGAAGTTACAGATTTTATTCAATTTCCATTATGTTATCTTGAGGAGGGTTTGTATTGGTCAGCTGTTTGATTTTAGTAAATAAAATCTGTAACTATCTGTAACATCGGTTGTACTGATGATTGTGACTATAATTTTATTCATGGATGTAGAAACTGAAGCACACAATTTAAAAAGCAATGACAAAATTGACATTTTCTTCTATAATGTAATTTCTCTTTAAAATTAAATGACTTTATGTACAATCTCGCTGAAGTATAAGAATTACTGATTAGAGTGAAATGTAGTGCCTGTGCTGCTAGTACAGCTTATTCTTTCACTGTAGAATGTTTAACGTTGCCTTAAACTAGCTAGCAACACAGATAATGTTTGTGCCAGTAAAAACAACCGTAGTACATTCAGAGCCAGTCATAAAGGTGGATAAGAGGCCCACTGAACACAGTGGGAAGAAAAACCTTTTTTTAAAATAACGTTAGACTAAGCAAGGGGGGTATGTGATGTTCAGTCACTTCCAAGAACAAAAGTTTTGGTCCACATAATCTGAATTTAAGGTAACATACAGAATGTGCCCTCCCGTTTGTGCTGCGTTTCCTGAATCTGTAGGGGGTGCGTGGTGAACACCTGCGTTCTCAGCTCTCTTACAGCACTCCTGGCAGTGTCACGCCATCCCCCTCGCTGCCTCCTGCATGTGGCAGGGGGGTTGGAGTCTCATGATCCTTGAGGCCTCTTCCAACCCTGGCCATTCTGTGATTCTGGGGCTCATCTCAGGGAAGGTGACCGTGCTGCCCCTCAGCAGAACCTCTGAGCAGTGTAAGATGACACGGTGTGGCAAAGCAACCACAAGGAAAAGAAGCAGCTTTAGAAATTTATTCAGAATATAAGAACATTTGTAAAATAAGTATTATAAATGTCTCTGTATAAATAAATGCAGTTTTTACAGTTCTATATCAAATAAACACAAAATAGCTATTTTACAGCAGCTAAGAGACTAAAAACCAGCAACACATTTAAAGCTATTTCAGCAAGGTGAAAAGATTCTAAAATTACAATGTATGGTACAGTATTAAATGAGGTTTTAAATGAGAAACTTCTATTAAAAACAGCAGAACAATACTGACATAATTAATGCAATTTTAGACATGTGCTATAGCTAACAGTACATTCAAGCTGGTGAAGATTTATATGCTTAGTTAGAAAAAAAAGTACTTTTTTCTGAACACAAAGAAATAAAAGGTTTCATGCACTCCAGCAATTAAGAAATAAGACACCCTAAGATTAATGAGTGAAAAAAAAACATTTGTGGTTCTTGCCAAGATAAACTATTTTTCTTGCTTTGCTAATGTATTAACTCCACAAGTGTTAGGTGAATTAAGTGTTGGGTCACTCAAGTTGATTTTTGTGTCAGTGATGAAGTTCTTGTCCATACACTGCTGTGCTACCAGTTCACTTAAAGGCAACTTGCAACTTGCTTCTCAGTACTCAGTCACAGGATTGGAGCCATTTTAATCAGAGATAACAGTTTCCACAACAGCAGTAAGCCCTTCACCGTGACCCTGCTGCCCTACTGTAGAATGCTGACAAGCAGTAGCTGATGGTTTAGGCAAAGTAACTTTTGTTTTGGCAAATTACAGCTGCTGCTGGGGCTGTCTGATACCAGTCTTGCTGTCCTACTTACGTCCTATGGGAAGAAAAGGAATGTGGCTTATATACAGTTAATGATTTATAATTCACTGTGGAACACTTTTAGAGTGTTCTTGGTAGGGAAGGTGCACAGCAAAGGTAGTAAAACATCATTCAGTTTGTGCAGAACCAGCAAATCATTAGGCCTTAGGCTGCAAAGAACACTGCAATTTTCTATGCTTCCTAATGTACATCTTGCCTATAAAGACAGGTTCAAATGCTTTAAGCTTTATTGCATTACATGAACTTAATGGCTTCTTCAGCTACCAAGGAACAGAACAACAGGGCATAAGGAAAGCCCATGTAAGAGTACTGTCTAACTATCTTAAAGTGAAAGGTTTATTTCACTCTGACAATTTGAGATGACCTCACACTAGATGGGTGTTCTAGATCCAAGAAGACAAAACTGTAAACGGCATAGAAAATGATCAGGTGTATACTTCAGACACAAGTGTGGTCAGCCACATGGCAAAAACAAAAATGCTGTTGACAAGAAACTTG